AAAAAAAAAAAAAAAAAAAAAAAAAAAAAAAAAAAAACTTTCTGCATCCATTAAGATGATCCTATGATTTTTTTTCTTTTATTAATGCAGGAAATTCTATTGATTAATTGCCCTATGTTAAACTAGCCTGTATTTCTGGGATAAACTTGGCTTTTCTTTATATGCTGGCTATGTTACTAGTTTTCTTTAGGATTTTTCCATTTATGTTCATGAGTGAGATTTGTGTGTACTTTTCTTTCTCATAATATCGTATTTGGGTTTTGTTATTGTGAAGTTGTACTGGCCTGGTAAAATTAGTTGGAGAGCGTTTCCTTTTTATTCTGTTCTCTGGAAGAATTTGTACATGACTGGAATTTTTTATCCTTTGAGCTGTCTCATGAAGTTAATATTCTAGTGGTGAGATTGATAATAGATAAGATAAGTAAAGTATGTAGTAATTTAGAAAATTGTAAGTGCTAAGGAGAAAAAAATCAGTAAAAAAACAATTAAATGTTTGGGTAAAGTGTTGACATTTCAGATGGGTTGTCTAGGAGTCTCCCTGGGAAGGTGGGGTGGATACCAGTGAAGAATGGGTAGAAAAGCATCCAGGCACCGAGCAGACAGTGGAAAGGCCCTAAGGCTGGAGAAGCAGCAAAATGTGATCACGACCGACTGGAGTGGAGAACCAGGGAGGGGGGGACGCAGCCAGAAGGCGGAAGGGGGGCCAGGGCCAGATCATTTAGGACTGTCAGGTCGTAGCAAAAACTTTGGCTTTTATCCTGAGATGGGAGGCCATTTGAGGTTTAAAGCAAAGGAGTGACATCGTATCAACCTGTTAACAGTAGCACTTTGCTGGCTTGTTGGGAATAGATTTCTGAGAGAGTTAGGATAGGAGGAAGTTGACTAGTTAGGAGGCCTTTATGAGCATCCACCCAAGAGTGATGGTGGCTTGGACCAGGATGGCAGTTGTAGGGGCGGAGAAATGTGGTCAAAGTCTGGATAAATTTTGTCTGAAGAAGTGTTAGAAATTGCTGACAGATCTGATGTAAAGAGGGCAAGAAAGACAAAAATGACTCCAGGGTGTTTGCCCTGAGCAACCAGAAGAATGTAGATCATTAACTTAGGTGGGGAAGACATCAGGAAGAGCCCCTTCAGGAGGGAATGTCAGGATCTCAGTTTGGATGTTTTAACTGAGATGCCTGTTAGACATCCAAGTACAGATGTAAAATAAACAGTCTTGTGTATTGGTCTAGAAAAGGGAGAGGTCCAGTCTGGAGATATAAATTTTGAAGACATTCCATGGCCTAGAAGAGATAAGCGACGTTATGAGTGTGGAGGTAAAAGAGGAGAGGTGCAAAGACTGAACCATGAGAGAGAGAACTCAGGAAGTGAAGAGTACCCAGCAAAATAGAGGGAGGGAGCATCCAGAAATTTACAAGAAAAACCAGACAAGTATGGTGTCCTGGAAGCAAAGAGAAGGCATCAAGAGTAGTGTTACATGCCCCAAATAGGTAAAGTTAAGTTAGAATCTAATAATCATTGTGTTTATCAAAATTGGGGTCATTTCATCTTAAAATTTACATGGAAAAAAATTCTTGAGAAAAGCCAAGGAAAATGTGAAAAATTGTGACTGGGACTTACCTTACCAGATATTAGAACATACTGTATACATCCTCTATAATTAAATCAACGTTGAATTGATATAGAACAGACAGAGACCACAAATGAAAACTCAGAAGGTTATCTCAGTGTATATAAATATGTATGTATAGCAAACTTAGTTCTTTTCAGGAGTAGAAGGATGAATTATTTAATAAATGGAGCTAGCCCAACTGGATATCCATTTGGAAGAATATAAAATGAATCTTGAAAAGGATTAAAGACTTAAATATAAGAAATAAAGCAATAACCATCTTGCAAAAAAAAAAGTGTAGGAGACCACATTTGCAATGTCTTGGTGAATATTGCACCGCATACCCTAAAAATAGAAAAGAGCTCTTATAAATTGGCAAAATAACAAACATGTTAGTAGAAAAAAATGAGTAGGAGATGGGAACAAGCAGTTTATAAAAATGCAAATTAGTTGGCCAGTAGATGTAAGAAAAAATGCTTAAGTTTAATAGTCCAGGAAATGAATCAATGAATATTAATCATTGGCAGGAAAAAAGCAAAAAAAAAAAAAAAGAAAGAAAAAAAAGAAAAAACAAACTCCTTTTCCCTTGTAATATTGCTAATGTGGTGATACAAATGGTTTCTATTCAAGGAGAAACATGTTGTAATGAAAAGTTTGGTTTATTTGCACTTGGAATACCATCGTGTGACTTAGCCACTTAGTAGTGTCATGGCTTTAGACAACTTTTAAACTCTAGAAGCCTAATTTTCCTTATTGTGAGGTGGAAATCACCATCCTTAGCAGACTGCTTTGCTCCAAGGCTGAATAGTGTGTATGCCAGGTCTTGGAAATGACACAGTGTGAGTTAAGGAAAAATAGGACAGGCTACAAGCTTTTCAGTACCAGAGTCCAGGAACAAATTGTATAAATTTTGACATGTGTGTGGAAAGAAAATATATTTCTAAATATAAATTGTAGTAAAGAAGGCTTGATTTCTTGGTTTCATTCAGCATTGGGTCTCAGTTTTGTAGGCATACGACAGCACTGTCTGATAGAACTTTCTACAGCGATGAAGATGTTCTGTGATCTGAAGAGTTCTGTGCTTTCCAATAAAGTGGCCACTAGTCACATGTGGCTGCTGAGCACTTGACATGTGTTAGTGCAACCAAGGAAGTGAATTTTTAATTTTATTTAATTTTAATTCATTTAACTTTCTATTTAAATATCCACATGTGGATAGTACTGTATTGGACAGAGAGCACACCTAGTTAATATAATTTGAGGCAGATTATAACTGGATGCCAATTAAATTACAATTAGCAGTTATAATGTGAGCTTGTAAATTAGTTTTTTAAAATATCTAACCTTAAAATAATTTTGCTTGTTGATAAAATAAATGGAAATACACAAAACTGAGTGCTAGATCCTCAACTGGAAAATATCTCAGATTAGTAAGCAATGGTTGGGGCAGACTGAGACTCCCAGACCTTGGAAGGGCCACCGACTGACCGATGCTGCTGAGAGATGTTCCCATGTGTAGGTTGAGACAGTTGGCTACAAAAATTAGTAAGCAATGGTTGGGGCAGACTGAGACTCCCAGACCTTGGAAGGGCCAGCGACTGACCGATGCTGCTGAGAGATGTTCCCATGTGTAGGTTGAGACAGTTGGCTACAAAAATCTTTCTCATCTTGATCCCTATATCAACACACAAGTGACGTTTCTGTAAATCCCAATGTGTGGTTTATATTTGCCAAGACTAAAATGGGTATTAAAGTGTTGTCTGGTGACCAAAGATCAGAATAAGGAGACTGTTGACAGAAGATACTCAATTTGAGAAAAGCATTTATCCAAAGAAGTCTGTAGAAGCTGAACATTTAGACTTCTCAGCCAGAAGTCCAGACATGCTGGCCTACATGCTTTCCCAGTTCCTTTTTTGCTTTGTCTTAGCAGATTCCTTACTGCCCAGCATGATGTTCCTTTTGCAGTACAGGTCTCTTGAGGACGTAGCCTTGGCTCTGCTTTTTTCTCTGTTGTGATTCTCTGCTGTAGGCTTCAGTTTATTCTCCTGTAAAATGGATTAAATATCTGTCTTCAAGGATCTTTCCTCTTCTAACAGTCTAAGAACTTTTAAGTAGCTAGCTTATTTTTTCATGGACTGCATCTCAGAAATGTTGCTTGTGTGTTGATTTGGGTATCAAGATGAGAAAGGTTTCTGTAGCCAACTGTCTCAGCCTACACATGGGAACGTCTTTCAGGGGCGTCAGTCAGTGGGTGGCCTTTCTGAGGTCTGGGAGTCTCAGTCTGCCCCGACTGTTGCTAACAAGCTCTGAGATGTTTTCCAGTTGAGGAGCCAGCATTCAGTTTTGTGTATTTCCATTTATTTTATCAACAAGCCAAATTATTTTAAGGTTAGATATTTTAAAGAACTAATTTGCAAACTTATGTTGTAACTGCTATAAGCTTACATTCCTTCAGATGGTTAGTTTGTTCCTACTGAGCTTTATGTAAGATAGATGGGAACTCTCATTATTTTAAGAAGAAAGAAATAGCTAGCTGCTTTTTAATGTTGTCAATTTTCACTGATTTTGACTTCTGTTAGGAAATCCACCTGTATGAATATTTTAGTAAGTAAACTGTTGGATACATAGCAAACTGGAAAGCTGTAAAAATATTAAAAATGCATTTACTCTTTGGAAAATATAACCAAAGTAGAAAGCCTGGTTCCTATCCTCGCAGATTTTTAAATTTGAGATTATTCAAAAGAATGGTGGATAACAAAGTTAATTTAATTAGACCCTGTGGTTTTCATCCAGAAGGTACTAAGCATAAAGTATGCATAAAAAATATAGTACTTTCTAAGAGAAGAACAGATAGATTGGCTGGTGAACCAACTAAAACAACTAAAACTTTCATTTACATAATGATTATTATTTTGGCTTTTCTTTGTTTTGTTCTTTTAATGGGTTTTGGTTGGGAAATATAAATTTAAGAGTGTGGAGTAAATGTAACAGAACAGATTAAAAAGGCATGTAATATGTAAGAAATAACATTTTAGCTGGGACTTCCAGTATGTGAAATAGAAAATTTGGGGAAATCTTAGGTTTCAGGGCTTATTATATGTCTGGGAACAAAGCTCTATTTTACCTTTTTCGTTTGCAAAATACAGTATGTCTTAGACTCATGCATCTAAACTAATAGACAACTTACATCATTCAAATTTTACAAAGATTAAATTGTCATTTGATTGTTGATTTATATTTTCCTGAAGTTTTACATATTTGTTTTTTTTTTAATAGAGTCCTGTGAAGATAAATCAGATTAGCCTGGATGAAAGTGGAGAACACATGGGCGTGTGTTCAGAGGATGGCAAGGTACGGCGAGGATGCGGTCATCTGGAAAGTGCTGTGATTTTTCCCAGCCCCTGGTGATCGGAAAGGCACTCTGCTTGCTATATACCTGCATTAAGAGAACCTTGATTATTCTTTTTGAGTAATGGACTTGCTTCCCATTGCTCATAATTAAAGTAAAATATATTTTGCACAAATGTGCCTTAGGAAAAGTAATTACAAGAATGTCAATAATGTAACTAGTATTAAGCTGATTAACAGCTGTGGCAGGATGACGTGTCACCTTAATCATTACTGCCGTACCACTTATACTTCAGTGACTAGTCTGCAGTTCCTGCAAGACAGTAGTTTAATGCCTTTCTGCCATAAATCCACAAAATTGGGTTTTGTGGGCATGATTTCTGTGGGCTGGTGGTTTTCATTTTCACACACAAGTTATGAATGTTTTTCTTGAATTATAGAATCTTTTGATAAGCGATCATAGTTTATCAGAAGAATAAAGTGTTTTACAATGGCCACATTAAATAAATGTAAAATCAATATATGTACAGTTTTCTAAAAACCTGGCACCTACTTCCTCGACCAGGGACATACATCATCTGTGCAGTGTGTAAGTAACAATTATCAGAGCTTCTTGCTGATGTTGAGCTGTGACATTTAGTGGTTGTGGTGATTGATTTTCCACTTATAAGAATGTCTTTTTTGTTTTTAAGTTGATGGAAGTCTTTTCTAGTGTTGGTTTGCAATGATAAAATTCTAATGTACAGTGTGTTTAAGCTACTTTTCTAAAATAACAGTTTAAGAAGAGAGTGCATTAAGAATCATTATAGAACCTTACATATTCCTTGCCGAATAGAATAGATTTCCTAATCTAATTTTGTATTTTTTATGTGCTGTAAATTCAATGGGCCATTAAGATGAGTAAATTAAAAACAATATACTCAGTGTAAACGGAGATGTACCTATTTAATCTGTTAACAAAAGCAACATGATGTCCTCTTGACATACAAGAATGCATTTAATACATCTAAGCCTAATGTTGCCCAAAGAGTCTTTTGAAACGGTAATTGGAGCACTAGTGCTTTTCAAAAAGCACCGTCAAATTTTACAGTACTTTCTGAAATTCTGAGATGAACATGATTGTCAAAAAGAGAAGAGGGAGGAGTTGGTTTGTGCAGAGATTGAGAAGAATTATCCACACTATTGAACATTTTTGTGTTCACATATTTGTAAGGAAAGATCATCTTCAGTTTTGTTTTCTTAAAGGGGAAGAATTCCTTCTGGGCACCAATCTAATTGAACATATTTGGTGAAAGAAAATATTCATTTTTTGAATTGGAAGCAGATTTTTACTAAGATAATTCATCTAGTAATTTTCAGAGCTTTTAATTGTTGAAAATTATTATTTAATGTGTCAAGGTGGAGTTTTTTTTTTTTTTTTTTTTTTTTTTTTTTTTTTGTCTTTTTCTCGTGTCCGGCAACGGATTGCAACCCTCAGTGTCGCGCCCGTACCGGACCGGGACCGGCAACGGGATCGCAACCCTCGGTGTTGCGCCCACACCTCGCTCAGCCAGTGAGCGGGAACCGGTCTGTATGTGGGACCCGAACCCTCGGCGGGAGCGCTGTAGCAGTGCGCCACCGGGCCGGCCCCAAGGTGGAGTTTTCTATTTCATCTGGTGGATAATGGGACGACTCGGATATTTTATAGTACGCTTATTGGCAGACACCTCTTTTCCTATTTTAGTAAAATTTATAACTGCCATATTTTGGTGTAAACCCATGATATATATATATATATTTTTTTGTATTTTTTCGTGTCTGGCAACGGATCGCAACCCTCAGTGTCGCGCCCGTACCGGACCGGGACCGGCAACGGGATCGCAACCCTCGGTGTTGCGCCCACACCTCGCTCAGCCAGTGAGCGGGAACCGGTCTGTATGTGGGATCCGAACCCTCGGCGGGAGCGCCGCCGCGCTTCCCAGGTGGCGCACTGTGCGCCACCGGGCCGGCCCATCCATGATATATTTTGAAAAATGGTTTTCTCATATGTTTTATTAACATCGATAGAATTGAAAATGAATGTTTCAGTGCACAATTGAGAAGCCAGTACAGGATGACCTGGTAAAGTGGTTAGTGATGAAAAACAAAGATATTTGCAAAGATAAACTCCAGACATCTAGATCTAATGCATGTTTAGATGGCTGTTGCCATTTTTTCTTTCTTTAGTGTGTTAAGGCTCCTAGACAAATATTTATTTGGTTATTTCAAGGATCACCTTTGATATTTGCATTCAGTTTTTTTATTTTTAGTTTTGGTTTTTTTTTTGGTAGCTGGCCAGCATGGGGATCCTATCCCTTGACCTTGGTGTTATCAGCACCATGCTCTAACCAGCCGAGCTAACCAGCCAGCCCTACATTCAATTTTAAAGCCATAATTCTAGCAGTTGTTTAGAATTTACTCTGTTCATTCAGCTGATGCTCATTTCTAATCTTTTCCCCCCGCTGCTTTTCTACACTTGAGCTCTAAATTTTGAGATACATGCACATAGGTATTGATATGCTTATCCTGAAAGTTATCTTAAAGTATATGCCAGTAAACTGAAACTGAACATACATACACATGCACACGTATGTTCAGTTTCAGTTTACTGGTGTATATTTTTAGATAACTTTCAGGATAAGTACATAGAAGGTTTTTTTTTTTTTTTTTCTTTTTTTGTCTTTTTTCGTGTCCGGCAAC